TTAGTCGAAAGGATGGGTTGGAGTGGAGTTCTTTGATTTAAGAAGGGAGGGAATGAGACAAAGAAAGAGGAGGAGGGAAAGAGGTGGAGAGGAAGTAAGAAGAAAAAGAAAGTGGGGAAGAGACAAAAAGAGGAAGGAGGAGGAAATAAAGAGGTAGTTTATGATAGAGGGTGAGGGGGTGATGGAAAAGAGAGAAGAGAAAATAAAGAGAAGTGGGAGAAGAAAGTAAGGAATGAAATGAGAATAAATAAGAAGCAGATAAAATATAAAGGAAAGGTGAAAGTAATATAGAGAGAAAAAATGAAGATGAGATAAGAAAAATAGAAAAACTGGAAAAAGAGAGAGAGAGAGAGAGAGAGAGAGAGAGAAAATGAAAAGGAAAAAATTAAAAAAAAAAGGAAAAGAAAAAAGAAGAAAAAAGGAAAAAAATGAAACAGAAAAAGTAAAAGAAAAAAGGTAACAGAAAAATGAAATAGGAAAAAGGGAAAAGAAAAAAAGAAAAGAAAACAGAAAAAGAAAAAGAAAACAGAAAAGAAAAGAAAACAGAAAAAGGAAAAGAAAACAGAAAAAGGAAACAGAAAAAGGAAACAGAAAAATGGAAAAGAAAAAAAAAGCAAGAGGAAAAAGAAAAAGGGAAAGAAAAAGAAAAAGAAAAAAAGGAAAGAAAAAAGGAAAAGGAAGAGGAAAAAGAAAAAGGGAAAAGAAAAAAGAAAGGAGAAAAAGGAAAAGAAAACAGAAAAAGGAAAAGTAAAAAGAAAAAGGAAGAGGCAAAAGAAAAAGGGGAAAAAGAAAAAGGAAAAGAAAAAAGGAAAGGAAAAAAAAAAGAAAAAAAGGAAAGGAAAAAGGAAAAGGAAGAGGAAAAAGAAAAAGGGAAAAGAAAAAAGAAAGGAGAAAAAGGAAAAGAAAACAGAAAAAGGAAAAGAAAAAAGAAAAGGAAGAGGCAAAGAAAAAGGGGAAAAGAAAAAGGAAAAGAAAAAAAAGGAAAAAAAAAAGAAAAAAGGAAAGGAAAAGGAAAAGGAAGAGGAAAAAAAAAAGGAAAAAAAAAAGAAAGGAGAAAAAGGAAAAGAAAACAGAAAAAGGAAAAGAAAAAAGAAAAAGGAAGAGGCAAAAGAAAAAGAGGAAAAAGAAAAAGGAAAAGAAAAAAGGAAAAGAAAAAGAAAAAAGAAAGAAATACAGGTAAAAGAAAGAAGAAAAAGAAAAAAAGGGAGGGAGAAAGAAGGAGAGAAATAAAAAGAGAAAGGTTAGATAAAAGAATGAAAGTAGAAAGAAAGGGTAGATAAAGATAAGAAAAAGAAAAGTAGGTAAAAAAATGAAGCAAAGAACTGTGAAAAGCTTAGAAAAATATCAGAGAAGAAAGAAAAAATGAAAAAAAAAAAAACTTGGAAAAAAGCAAAAGAAATCCAAGAAGAGAATATGACAAAGAAGTTAGAAGAAAATAAAATATGTATCTTGGAAACGAAATCAAGTGGAGATCAGTGACAGAAAATGCAGAAGAAAATAAAGAAAATGTAATGAAGAAAGTGAGAAAAAAAAAGTAAAGTTTTAAAGGAGAGAAAGAAATGTGTTTCCACCAAAAAGGAATGAGAAGTAAGAATTGATAAACGGGAGATTAGAGAGATAAAAAAATGGAGGTACTCTAGTTTTATTAGGAAAAAAATAAGTAGGAAAAGTGTGAAGTTAAAATTAGGAAAGAAAGGAAAAAAAATAGCAAATAAAATAAAGACAAAAAAAGAAAGCAAGAAAAAACAAAAAAGAGGGGTGAGGGAGAAAGGAAAGTAATTTTGCTTAACTGTGATTTTTTTTTTCTTTAGGTAATTTGATTTTGTCTTTTATTTAATTTTCTTTTCATAATGGCCCATGTCAAACTGGATTTTTTTTAAGAGCAAAACAAACAAAAAAAAATGAAGAAAAACCAGCAAACACCAAATTCCAAAATTCCAAACCAAAAAATATTCCCAAATCTTCAAAATCTCAATTCCTGGAATATTGGGCATCAAAAATGTTTTGTTTGCAAAATACACAAAATCTTATGCAGAAGCACTGCACAGCACAACACTGCACTTCAAACTGTGAAATGCAAATCTAAGAGTGCTAATATTTGTAAGGAAAATTCAAAAATTGAATATCAGACCATCTTGGAATGACCTGCATGTCTTTCACTAAAAGAGAGAAAAAGAAAAATATCTTTAAGTGTGGAATTTACTCCAACTCTTTCAATCCAACTTCATATGTAAAATGTAAATCCATTACAAGTAATTTCACTAAAGTAAAGCATTGCAAAGAATTTATTGAAGAAATGCATTGTAAAGGGATTGTCATAGATCAGGAATTATGACAAATTTAACTGAGAGTGTAAACAATTACAATTTAGATTTCCTGAAGGTTTTTTTTTTAATCATGAACTCATCTATTTTTTAATTGACAGAAAAATATTTAAAAATACATAATTTCCCTCCACAAACAATTTTTTAGTATTTGTTTGAAATTAATGAATCCCTACTCTTTAGATCTGATGTGTTTTTAAATAAACTTTTGTTAGAATCTGTCTATATTTCTAAGATGAGTTATTATGTACACTATTTACATTATTTAAACTATTGTCCTCATCTTTGTCACCATATTTATTACAACGTTTCGGCCCTTCAGTATCTGTCTATATTTGTGACATGAGGTATTATGTACACTATTTACATTATTCGAACTATTGTCCTCATCTTTGTCACCATATTTATTACAACGTTTCAGTATCTGTCTGTATTTGTGACATGAGGTATTATGTACACTATTTACATTATTCAGACTATTGTCCTCATTTTTTTCGCCATATCTATTACAATGTTTCACAACTCTGACCTTCTTCAGTAGTTTATTTCACTCACTGGGGTAAGGCTTCAAGAACACCAGAAAGTTGTAACATGAGGGGAAGTGGAAAAATCAGGCATGGCTGACCACATATGGAGAGAGAAGGGAGATCACCACCCTCTGTGGGATCAGGTTGAGATCATAGACAAAGAACATCATTGAAAAATGTGTAAACTTAAGGAATCAGCACATATGCTAGACCACAAAAATTTCCTGAGCCGACCAAGCATAGAAATGAAAACAATATGGGAACCAGTAATAAGGAGTGCCAGAGAAAAGTGATAATAACAACAAAAGATTGCAATATGAGCTCTGGTAAAAACATGGAGTGATAACAGCAAAAATTGCAATATGAGGACTGGTAAAAAAATGGATGCTGAAGACATTAGGTTTATAATATCCAGAAATTTATACACAGATGTCCACAAGGACACATGACAGAGTGGGTAAAGGCATTAGTTAGATTCAGTGACAGGACCCAAAAAGTATGAGTTCAATACCCGGTTAAGGCAGTGGAGAACTTGGAGAAGGGAATTAACAGGAGATAACTGACATCCATTAAACATGGATCTAGAACAGTCTATCCCAAAATAAAACACCTGAAGAAGGCTGGAGCATACAACGGCTGCAACATTGTAATAAATATGGTGACAAAGATGAGGACTTTTGTTAGAAATTTTTTTATAATCATTTCTCCCCATCGCAAGGCAATAAAGCCACTAAGATACAAGGGGTTACTGAGTGTAAGAGAATTATGAGAAAAGGAAAACATTAAGAATTAAGATGACAAAACAACAACTGACATTATGTTTATGGAATTTTTAACAGATTAAATAATATTTATGTTGGTCACACCACAAACTCACTTTCACGGCACTTGACTCTACATTTAAATGATAACTCTAACATTTTTAGGCATTTAAAACAACATGCCTGGCCACGTACTCAATTCCAGAAAATCCTTGTTGACAACACAACTATACTTAAACATGGAAACAATAAACAAAAACTAAAAATTCTTGAAGCTAACAGTTGAAACCTAACCTTAACAAAATAAACTATGAAATCTCCACAAATATTCTTAAATGCCTATAATTAATAACAGAAGCCATACTTCCCATACTTAATACTTCTCGTTTTCACTCTCGTGTGGTCATGTGTGACGTCACGAGCTGTGACGTGATTTTCGTTTCCGCGTCTCGTATATACAAGTTTGTCGGTACTTGAAATTTTTATGCAGCAAGGGCGGACTATCATTGTTGTTTCATCTGTGTGTTGCTTGATTTATTGAAATTTAATTGTCATCTTTGATAATGGCCTTTGTAAGGCGAAAGTTTAGATTGGATTTAAACATGTATCAATATGGTGTTTTCCTTTCGTCTTTCAACGATAATGTGATTAAGCTTGTCAGACAAAATGAAAGGAACTCACTTAAAATAAATAGACAAAACTTGTCTATATTTTATTTATGGGTAAGTCCTCAATAACCATGCATTAATATATATATATATATATATACTAATATTTAAGTAAATGGTCTGTTTATAAAAATAGTATTAGCAACATTTAAGAGAGAGAAATCATGGGATGTTTGTAGTTTAAAGACAGTAACCTTGCTAACCAGAAGCTTCCTCTGTAGCTAAATGGTATAGCATGTCAGGCTATATGACAGTTCCATGTAGGATACAGGTTCTATTCCTGTTGGAGGACACATATTTTCTTTGTGATTTCTCAGACATTCAGGTCAGTAAATGTTGTTTAATACAGTTTATTATAAACAGTGCATTTACTTAAATATTTTTATTTATAAAAATAACATATAAACAAAAAATATATTACAATAATTGTTGGACTTAGTCCATTTCATAGTCAAGTTTAGATATATATATAAATATATTACATACAATAGGAATTTACCTCCTAGTTATGATCATGTCACCTTACATATTAAGATTTACTTACAAGGATTTTCGAACCAATCAAGGTAATAGGATAAAATAAAATGAAAACCCTATATATATATATATATATATATATATATATATATATATATATATATATATATATTTAAAAAAAAAAACAGACCACTTTAAGGTACCATTATAATAATTTATTTCACCAGAGCCCTTTTAAAGGATGCTGGATCATCAGATAGCACTTACAAAAATGAAATTAAAATTACCCATACGGATTACCAAATTCTCCATAACTTAAATATATATATATATATATATATATATATATATATATATATATATATAATGTCCCAAATGTAATGCACAGGTTGATAATTCCCACTCTTTAAAATCAAAATAAAAATGGGGTGTCTATTTTAAATAGGAGTATCCACTGTAATAAAGTTTGAAATAATACGTTTGTGTGTGTATGTATTTTCTATTATTTTCTTTTAAGAAAATATTTTCTCTGGTGAAATAGATTTTTCCTTTCCTCCTTTTTTTAATTTTTTTGTACAAAGATTGATTTTTCATTAAAGAAGAAACAGATATATACATTTTTAATTAACGATCAAATTTTTTCAAAAAAATGCTCCAACAAAAATTTAATTCAAGAAACAAATAAAAAAATAAAAAATCTGGAAAAAACAAAAACAACATTTACTCACTTTCATTTATTAGGCATTAAATTACATCAGTTAGCATCTTCCATAGTTTACATAAATTAAATCCCTTAGCATCCTCCATAGTTAGTGTCCTTGAATTTATAAATTTTGAAAAGCTAATGATATTTTAACTTCTGTCATGTGGCAAAATAAAAATAAATCCTTACATTTACCTTGATAAAGTCCATCAGAGGGTGAAAGGCATTGGTCAAGAAAAGTTTTCTGTTTTTTTATATATATATATATATATATATATATATATATATATATATATATATATATATATATATTAAAAAAGAGAGAAACCACAAACGTTTTTGCTTATAATGCGGATTTGTTTTTTAGTGTATATATTATATTTTATTCTTCATATTTCTACTACAAGTATTTCTGGTTTTGTGACCTTCTTCAGCCAAATAACAGGAATAAATTTGTTTGATGTTCTTTTTAACTATAAGTTTTTTATAATATGGAGAGGGAATTACATACACATGCCAGGGCTAACAAAGACATGCATGCACACACAATACACAAAATTGGAAATGTATTTGACAGACTCAAGGGTAATGGAGGGATAGGAACACATCTATCATCAACACATCTATCATCAGCACATCCCAGACCAAACCTAATGGTTTTATTACCACTTAAGCAGAAATTCACTTTTGCCAACAATCCAAAAATGAGATCAAAGCTCACTACAAATACAGAAAACAAACAATGAAACATTAAAAGAACATAAACTAAATTTTTTTATTTTTATTTGGCTGAAGAAGGTCACAAGGCTGGAAACATGTGTAGCAAAAATATGAAGAATAAAATATAATATATACACTAAAACAAATTCACATTATAACCATAAACGTTTACAGTTTCTCTGTTTTTTTAAAAATATACATTTTTCTCTTGTTGGAACAACCATAACCTTTTTCCTATATATATATATATATATATATAAATCAAGTGTAATGTAGATTAATTTCAATGTCTAAATATTATATTTTAAAAAAGTGCTCAATAAATGGGATTTATTTCTATTAAGTCAAATTTTTTCTGTTTTCTATGCATATTTAGTTATTATGCATCTGTGTATAGTCAATTATATGAAAAGTGTCTTTATTCATTAGTTGGACATACAATAAATTAAAAATTTGTATGCGTACAAATATTTGTTCTCCCACACACACACACACACTGGATATAGTATTTGTGCATAAAACTCAGAATTGTGCTAAACGGTAATAAACAAAATATATACTTGTTGATAGATAGATAGACAGACAGACAGACTGAGGATAGATAGATAGATAGATAGACAGACTGAGGATAGATAGATAGATAGATAGACAGACTGAGGATAGATAGATAGATAGATAGATAGATAGATAGATAGATAGATAGATAGATAAGAGACATAGATAGATAAGAGACATAGATAGATAGATAGATAGATAGATAGATAGATAGATAGATAGATAGATATGAAGAGTATGTGATAGTGAAGAAGATTGCCAAATGGCTTTATTGTCCTGAAATTTAGCTTTTATTTGACAGATGAATATTAATAAATGAAGTACAGTCAGATGGCTGGATCAATACCTTTTATATGTTAATGGCTTTTAATATACAGTAAACTCTTGACATAGCAGATCCTTGTATGAGAGATTTCAGATTTAATGGACCTTATCCCAGGGCTGAAATATCCTATTTTATTTTCATGTTTGCCATTAATAAAATATTGAAAATTATTTTTTTATTTGTCTCTTATAATAACCAATGCTTTTAAATGATGCCTCAAATATATGTTCTGGAAACATGGCTTTTGATAGAGAGTTTTTAGATAAAATTTTGGGACACTCAACTACAGAATAGATATTTCATGTTCTTTATTGTAATTAAATAAATTTATATTGTATATAAAAGTATATTAGAGTTTTCTTTATGTTAAGAAGAAAATTAAAAAAGATTTTATCGCGGCATTTCATCTGATATGTTCTTCAGCCTTCCTCGGGTGTATGTTGCATCCAGTGCTCTTTAGATGTCACTCTAAACATTATTCAGACAAGTATCTTCATCTTTGTTGTTTTTATCCCAACCTTCCACCCGATACGTTCTTCAGCCTTCCTCAGTTGTATGTTGCATTCAGTGGCTTTTAGATTTCACGCTACACATTGTTCAGACCAGTATCTTCATCTTTGTTGTTTTTATCCAAATATTTCAGTAAATATATTCTTCAGTCTGCCTCAGGGTTTTGTTCATCTCACATTTAAATTAAAATAACACAGTACCAATTGTTTCCAATTGGAATAACTTTTAAGTCATGTTTCCAATTTTAATTTGTAAATTCTACTGCCATCTTAGCTTGGAACAGGACTAAAATAGTGAAGAACCCAGTCAAGATTAAACTCACTATGACTGTCCTGCAAGATAAGGTTAAAAACCATCACTCTAGAGCATGTAGTCAGTTAAATATACGTATAGGGTTTCATTTTTTTCTTATCAGATAAATGTGTTCAGACTTTGAAAAATGTGACAATTATAGCTTTTAAGCTTTTATGTGATGTATTATTTAACTGATGACTTTAGAAATGCTGCTAGTAAAACAGACTAACATCTTTTAGCAATATTATGTTTTAATTGCATAATCCTTATTTTGCACTATTTACATTGTTCAGACTGTTGTTCTCATCTTTGTTGCCATATTCAAAACATCACAGCTGTTGTGTGTTCCAGGTGAACACTTTATTTTGTCCAGTCTCCAAGTTTTTGTTCAGCTCTGCTGTAGCCAGGTATTGAACTCACAACTCTTTGGGTTAAGTCACTGGATTTAGAGTTGAGTTAAAAGGGAGATAACTAATATTGAGACATCCTGAAGTGGCGTGGTACATGGAACTAGAACAATCTACTCCCGTGGATGGTTCAGTTTGAAATTTCAATCACTTGAAGAATGCTGGAGCATACAACAGCCAAAATGTTGTAAATATGGCAACAAAGATGAGGACAACAGCCTGAATAATGTAAATAGTGGAAATAGTTACAATACCTCATCTCAGAAATAGAGACAGATCCTGAAGAAAGCTGGAGTGTACAACAACTAAAATGTCATGAATATGGCAACAAAGACAAGGACAACAGCCTGAACAATGTAAATACTTCATCACAGAAATATAGACATATCCTAAAGAAAGCCAGAGCGTACAATGGCCAAAATGTTGTGAATGGGACAAACAAAGATGAGGACAACAGTTCAAACAATGTAAATAGTGGAAATAGTTACAATACTTCATCTCAGAAAGATCCTGAAGCGTATAATAGCCAAAATGCCATGAATGCTACAATGAAGATTGGACAACTGTCTGATCAGTGTAAATCAGTGTAAATAATTACAATACCTCATGTCAGAAATATAGACAGATATTGAAGGAGTGAATATGGAAATAAAGATGAGGACAACAGTCCGAACAATGTAAATAGTGTAAATAATTACAATACCTCATATCAGAACTATAGACAGCTATTCATAATTATTGTTATTGATTGGTTGATTTATTTTATAACATGTAAATTGGACACTTGACGGAGTAAAAGATTAGACAAGAAGACGACTTCCTGATAATATCAGTATATGGCACAAATAGAGGAAAACATCTCAGCTTCCTTGGCAACCTTGGTCTATTTTTATAGTGTACCAGTAGCTGATGATTAAGTTTACATAAAAAAATTCCAGTATCCAAATGCTGAACTTTAAAGAAAGTATGAAACATGTGAGCAATGACAAAGTTTTAGAGAAAGTGAACACAAAAAGAACACTTATACTTAACATCAGGAAGAGACGATTTCTAGGGAATGTAATGAGAAAAGATGGCTGGGAAGATTGAAGCTAAGAGGGATAGAGGCAGAAAACACATAACATACCTAGTGTCTTGAGTACTGATTTTCTAAGCATGGCTTAGATGTGGCACATGGCCGAAAGTATGGGCACCCAGTGAGGATCGAACTCACTATTCAGTTGTAACTGTTTTAGCAAGACCAGCTTGCTAAACATTACACCACGCTGAGGCACCCCCCTAGTGTCTTAGTTGACTAAATGGAGGATGGAACAAGGTTTAGGAGAGATAAAAAAAAAAAGACAAAATTTAATAATAGCTAGAGAGGACAAAAAATTGTTGTATAGCCATGGTAGTCAATGGCTTGAAGAGACACAGAACATAGAAGAAAAAATGGTAAACTGTTATCACTTGGTGCAATGCAATCTACTTACACACCATGAGTCTTTGCATTTGAATAACAGAAGATGCCTTCAAAAAGCAAAGCAAAGTACTGAGAAATGGGAAAACTTTGTTAGAAACAAAGAAAAACATGTTGAATATTTTTTTTAATCATTTCACTCCAAGCAAGGCAATAAAGCCTCTAAGATGCAAGAGGTTACTGAATGTTAATGAATATAAGAAAAAAACATTACTAAGGAGAGAAAACAATAAAAGAACAGGAATTAAGATACACAATAATAATTGACATTACATTTAAATTTTTGAAAATCAAAGTTGACTGGGAAGCTAGCAGACAGAAGAGAGTTCCACAAGTGAGAAGTGGAAGAGAAGAAACTGTTAACATAAGACTTACAATCACATCTCGTCATTCCAACTGTAAAATGATGAGATCTTGCTGCCAAACTAGTACTGTGCTTAAATTAATAAAGTCATCAAAACAATTATCATGAAAATATTTATAGAAAAAACAAAGGGAAGCTACGGTGGGAAAAATGACTGAAGCTGAGATGCCAGGTCAGGACCAATAACATTGCAGATTCTTCTTTGTATTTTATCAAGAATCTCTAAATACATAGCAGAAACACCAGACCTGATGTGGCAACAATATTGGACGAATGGCAAACTATATAATATGAATCCTCCTATATGGCAGAATGCTGGACAATTTCCTCATAAATGACGCAACAGAGATGTGATTCTACAGGAGGATGCTGGGAATACCATGGATAGAGCATGTGAGTAACAAGGAAGTTTCAGGGGAAATCAAAATACTTATACTTAGAAGCAGAGAGAGGTAGTTTGAAATTTCTAGGATACATAATGAGGAAAGAAGGCTTGGAAAATTTGACACTCACAAGATATATTGTATATAAGAAGTATGAAAGAAAATAGTGAGTGACATACATAATAAGCTTGTGTAAATGGAGGCAAAACAGGAACTGGGAGAGGACAAACATTACTTAGAGCTACAAAGGATAAGAAGTTGTGGAGAATCATAATCACCCATGTCCTGTATAGCACGGAACATAAAAGAAGATAAAGAAAAATGTTCAGAATAGCAATGTAATATTATATATGGCAGTGAATGTTCGACAATTTCCTCACAGGTGAAGACTTGAGGAAACAAAGATTCTACAGAAGGATGCTGGGAATGCCATGGGTGGAACATATGAGTAACAAAGACGTTTTAGGTAAAATAAAAATAAAAATGCTGCTTATACTTAGAAGCAGAGAGAGGTATTTTGAAGTTTCTAGAAAATTTCTAGAAGGCTTGGAAAATTCGACACTTACAAGATATATTAAAGGCAAAGAGGACAGAGGGAAACAGTGAGTAACCTATCTATCAAGCTTGTATATATGGAGAACAGAAGAAGGACGAGGGAATGGTAAAACGACAATGATCTGTAAGAATTATGAAGGATAGACAATTGTAGAGATCCATAAATGCCCACGTTCTGATAGAACACAATATAAAGAACAAGTCTTTCTAATTCAGGGAGAAAATATTGGATATCTTTTATTAAATTATTGATTCTTCTGATTTTCAAATATTTCTGTTGACTTGCTAGTCTTATTTGCTATTCAATGGATCATTGCTAGTCTTATTTGCTATTCAATGGATCATTCTTGCATGCCTTGTTTCTTCTAGTAACCCATTTTTTTGGAATGAAAATTGATTTTAATTCTTTGTTTATGACCAACACAGAGTGTTTGGTAGCATTTTCCAAGTGACTCTGCCTGTATGTTGCATCATTCCTCATATCATCTGTATTTGTCCTTAAACCATTTTCTCTTGTCTGTCCATTCTTTAGAATTTTTCTTTTCTTTTTTTTGTTTTCAGTTCCATTCTTTTCTCCTCACTTTCTTTTCTTTCACTATTCTTTTTCAGTTTTCCTTCTTTTCTCAAAGCCTTTTTTCTCTTCCTTTTTTCCTCTCTCCATTTCTTTCTTTTCTTCATCATTTTCTTCCTTGTCTCTTTCTTCTTTTCTTCTACTCACTCTTTTTCATTTCTTCTTTTTTTTTTTTCCTCATTGCCTCCACCTCACTTTTCCCTTCTGTCACTATTTTCTACTTTCCCTTCTTCTTTCTTTCAAACTCTCCTTTTCATCTTTTCTCATTGTCTTTCTTTTCTCTCTTTTCATTTTCAGTCTTTTTTTCTACTGCTTTCTTTTTTCTTTACTCATTTCCTCTTCTGTTCTTTCCACCCTTTTTTTCTTTTCATTTCTCCTCCTTTTTTTTCATTTCTTTCTTTCTTTTTCCTTCCTTACTTTACTCTTGCTTTTTCTTTTCTTTTTTGTTTCTCCTTTTTCTTTTCACATCATTCTTCAGTCCTTCCTTTTCTCTTTTTCCTCCTCTTTTTCATTTCTTTCTTTCTTTTTACTTCCTTACTTTCCCTACTTTACTCTTGCTTTTTCTTTTCCTCCTTTTTTCTTTTCATATCTTTCTTCAATCTATCCTTTTCTCTTTTTTTCCTTTTTTCATTTCTTTGCTTTTTTCTTATTCTCCCATTTTTTCAACTCTCTCCGTTTTCCTTCTTTATATATCACAAAAACAAAGGAAGGAAATAAAAGGAAAAATGAAGAAAGACTGAAAGAACAAAAACTAAATCCAGAATAAAACAAAAAATAATAAAGAAAGGAAAGACGAAGGAACAAAAAAAGAAGAAACAAAAAAGAAACGAAGAAAAGAAGGAGTAATAAAAGGTGTAAACTAAGGAAGAAGAAGAAAGAAAGAATAAAAAGGAAATAATCAAGAAAGAAAAAAGAAAAAAGAAATATTCATTCTAAATGAAGAAAGCTTAACTTTTAAAAAAAAGCCAATTTAAGAAAAAGAAAAAAGTACAAAAAAAAAAGAATTTTTTGTGAAATTAAAAAAACTGATGGTGGAGAGGAAAGTAAAAAGAAGAAAAATATTTTTGGGGCTGATGAAGAGAAAAGAAGAAGAAATAAGAAAAATATTTTTGGGGCTGATGAAGAGAAAAGAAGGAGAAATAAGAAAAATATTTGCGATGAATGGATGAGTTTCAAATAGTGATAGTTAATACGTATTTAGAATTATATCTAAATAACCAACATAGTTTAAGACATGAGATGTATATGTAATGTTATCAAAAAATAAAAATATAAAAAAACTTATAACTCTGGCATCAATATGTGACATGCAAAATATTTACAGAATGAACCAAAAACCATGAACTAAGAACCAAAGAACAAAAAAAA